ATAATATAATAAAATAATAATAATAATAATAATAATAATAATAATAATAATAATACGGTAATAATAATAATAATAATAATAATAATAATAATAAATATATAATGTAATAAGAACAATAATAATAATAATAACAATAAAACAATAACAATAATATTAACGTGTAAAGGTGTAATTTTGCCCTACCTGACGTGGAAATGTACCGAATACTCAGTACATTTGAAAGCAACTGCGAATAAAAATCGCAAGTTGTTCTCGATTGGGACTCGAACCCACGATCTCCAGATCACTAGCCTGGCATCATACCTCTAGACCACCGAGCTTGCGCCTGATGGCCAGGATTGAATTCGAGTCCAGGTAAGCAGCGGGTACTGCAGTGTTGACAGTAATTGTTGTTGTCGTGATGAAATAATAGACAATAACTGGATTTACGTCGGGAGAAACATATATATGTTTTCAAATGTACTGAGTACCGTATTCGGTACATTTCCATGTCAGGTAGGGCAAAAATTACACCTATACATGTTTCTCCTGACGTAAATCCAGTTATTATCTATTATTCCATCACGACAATACTAATTACTATTAATAATATTAACAAAATAACAATAACAATAAAAATATTAATAATAATAATAATAATAATAATAATGAGATAATAATCAAACAAGAATAAGAAAATAATAAAAGAATAACAATAAGAACAACAAAATGATAACAAATGAAATAACAATCAAATGATAATTAAATAAAGAGAATTAAAAATAATAATAAAAACAAAGAAAATTTGAAAGTAACGAGAGTACTGTACGTTGACCTTTCCGGGGTATCAACCAAATTTACAACTGATCAATCAGAACATGATATTGAAAACCCGCAATAGGTGTATGTTCCACAAACCCAGAGGTTTACGTACGTCTACGCTGTTTAAAGGTCCCTACACCTTTAAACAACAATATAAAGGGCGGGGCTCTGCATGAGGAATGTCCATGGATTGTCTACAGTAGTCCTGTGCTGATAAAACATGATGTATATTTTCCATATGATTGCTCTCTGTTTTTGGAACGATGACTTTTAGCAGCCAAAATTAGTTAACCATTAAAATTGAACACTAGGTCCAGGCCTACCACCCGCAAGTTAAGATTACACCTGCATGAGTGCAGTCATAGTAACTGTACTGTACTTACAGTTTGCAGGTTTAGGCTACTATTGAAGTTTAAAGCTGGGCTGGGCGTACATTTGATGTTCTTCATAATGTTAAAGTGAATGTGCATCCTATAATTCGAGACCCATCTTATTAGAGACCACTTTTTTCAAAGAACTAAATAGCAATCTACAATCTTTTAACACAAAGCTAATCATCTAATTGGAGACAGAGACCACCCCAAATGTTCAGGTTCCAAAGTGGAAGGCGAACGACTGTATTGGTTTTTGAATGCGTACGGTAGTGTACGAGATCGCATGTATCTTCACTTCAATCTAACCGTCAGTGTACCGTTTGCCATTTTCAGATAGACCTGTGTGATTCGCCAGATTTGCCCAGGAGTGGCACCAGGATTTGCACAACAGGGGTCCGGGTGTACTCCGAACGGGAGCGTAAATGGCCGTGGTTGGGCGTCGAAGCCCCCTGAAACTATTTTGGGGTTTAAAACGCTTCATCATACTTAATCGATTTTGTCTACTTTTTATGTTAAATACATAAAACTACTTCTTCCTCCCCGGCGGGGGAGTCCTCCCTGCCGGGAGTTGGGTGGTCTACCACCTGGCCCCCAGCCCCAACACTGTCGCCACCCCTGGAATTGGCCGCTAAAATCGGTCACCCTTAGATCGATAAACATTGGTCCGGGATTTGAGTGTGGTTTGTGGTCATCGGAGGTTGCAGGATTGGATACCGACGGAGACACACTGTCTTCATAGGACAACGGATAGGGTGTAGAGGGGTTTTGTTTTGTTTTGTTTTTTTTCGTAATACAGTAGAACCAACTCCTTTAAGACACTCTATTTAGAGGACACCCCTATTTAAGAGAACACACTTTTCCATGAAACGATGGGAAATACATATTTTAACACTAAGGCCAACCAGGGACGTATCCAGGGGGGGAGCCGTGGGAGCCGCGGCTCCCCCCCCCCCTTTGTACACAGTGTTAAAATGTTAAAGCTTATTCTTGAGCCAATACAAATTCTTTCCTGGGATCACTCAAAATGAATACTTTTAAACATGTAAATATGCATCAGTACACGTGATACAGGCATAATAGAACACATAGGCCTAAGCGTGATTTTAAAAAATCTTAAATCCATAAATCTCAGGCCAGGTCGTTTAAGATAGAAATGCGATACTGTGGTTCAATTTCGTTTTTATCCTTTTGCATTTTTCTTTAAATGTTTGTTTAATAATTCTACTACTAATAGTAATAATAATAATAACAATGATGATGATGACAATAGTAATAATTGATATTAATATTAATAATAAAAAGTGAAGAAAATTGTGCTAAATGCGAAAAAAAAGTTGTGATTTGTTGATCATAATATAGTATATATAGTTAAAGCTTAGTAAGCTATAATTAGGCCTAAGCTGTTCTGGATATTAAATAGATCCCTGATTAAAGATCATGAGAAATTTGTTGGCGTTTCATTTTGACTATAATGGTAATGTGATGATGATAAATTTTACTATATAAAAGTGTCATTTCCGGCCATCTCGAAAGGTACTATTTCCTCAAATTTTCTCACCTCAGCCCCAGCCATGGTGGGGCTGAGGACGTTGTGAAATCACGTTTTTGAAGTAGCCCTATGTAAAGTACATACTCAAAGACAATGTTTTTAAGCTTTTTTTTCTATGTTTTTTCTATGGTATATCACATACATTAATAAGATCCCTATGGTTGGGAAAAATCCCTGATAAAAGATCATGTTTGTTTAATAATACTACTACTAATAGTAATAATAATAATAATAACAATGATGATAATGACGATAGTAATAATTGATAATAATATTAATAGCAATAAAAAGTGAAGAAAATTGTGCTAAATGCGAAAAAAAAGCTATGATTTGTTGACCATACTATAGTATATATTGTTAAAGCTTAGTAAGCTATAATTAGGCCTAAGTTGTCCTGGATATTAAGTAGATTCCTGATAAAAGATCATGAGAAATTTGTTGGCGTTTCATTTTGACTATAATGGTAATGTGATGATAATGAATTTTACTATATAAAAGTGTCATTTCCGGCCATCTCGAGAGGTACTATTTCCTCAAATTTTCTCAACTCAGCCCCAGCCATGGTGGGGCTGAGGTGGTTGTGAAATCACGTTTTTGAAGTAGGCCTATGTAAAGTACATACTCAAAGACAATGTTTTTAAGCTTTGTTTTCTATGGTATACACACACACATTAATAGGATCTCTATGGTTGTCAAAAATCCCTGGTGAAAGATCATGAGAATTTTATTTTGGCGCTTCATTTTGACTAATGGTGATGTGATGAAGATGAACTTTACTAAAAGTGTCATTTCTAGCCATCTAGAGGTACTATTTCCTCAAATTTTCTCACCTCAGCTCCAACCATTGTGGGGCTGAGGTGGGTGTCGACTCACAAAATGCCCTCCCCCTCAACCTTTTAAAACAGATCTGTGCCCTTCATCGAGTCGGCTCCTGATGTATGTCTTAGTGATTGCTGTTTGTTTTTAGGATGTGATCTGGTTTTTCATGTCCATATTTCGTGATTATGACTATTCTGGATAAAGAATGTTTTGAGTGACGAATATTATTAAGCCTATATTCAAACAACTGTACAGACGAGGTGGTTAATTTGTCACAATTTTGTTTTAAATATATGTTCACGAACGTTTCCGACCATGATATGAGTTTCTCAATTGATTACTTGTTTGATATATTTATTTATATATCCCGTATATTCAGAGCTGTAAGGTAGTACGGTACAGCTAGAATTTTCTTTGTGTTATATGAGGGCGCACATCAGTTTTGTGAGGTAGCAAACTTGTATGAAAAAGTACGAGTCCCACCGGAGACACTCGTTTACATACAACTTAAACTACCTTTCCTTACCTTCAAATTAAAAAAAAAATACATTGATATTGTATAGGCCTCTGTACCTTTTTTGCCTTTTTGGTTAAGGCGATTATCAAGTAAACTGAATTGAATTAAATTGACTTTATAAGTTGGTGCAAAAGCAGAGAGTCGTATAGGCCCTCTCCTACACGTACTTTCCAAGTGTCATCGTACACTATTTTGATGCAGATATGTAAACTGCATTTAATTTCTTTTATATATAATTATGCAGAAGAGAAGACTGAAAAAAACCTTCTTTTAAAATACAGAAAAGCTAAAGCTTATCTTAATGTTCTGAGCAATTGCAAAACCCTCAGTGTTTTCTCCCATTTAAATGATAGGCCCTCTTGCTGCCTGGGGCCTGTATAAAACAAACACAGCGCACCCTCCAATTCGAGACCCCTCTAATACCGAGACCCCCCCCCCCCTTTTTTTTTTTAAATTCAAGACCACTTTTTCTAAGAACCAAATAATAATCGTAATTTTTTAGACAAAAAGCACAGGCTACGCTAACCCTCTAATTAGAGACCGAACCCCGAGACCACCCTATTTTCAGTTATAAAAGGTGGTCTCGAATTGGAAGGCAAACTGTATGTAAATTATAGAAACAGTGCATGAATGTTGGACCAAAATGATTGCAGTGAAAGGCAATCTGGCGGGATTAGAACCTGTCACTTCTTGCTATCAAAGCAAGACCACTATGACCAGGCCTAATTGGTTTGAGTCATTCTGTCCAGCTATACACAACTTAATTGCTAGACCCATATATTTCCAAAAATCTTTCACATAAAATAATAGACATTAAATAAATAACTTATACAATGGACAAAACAATTTTAAATAACTGCAAGTCATTTATTATATTTAGGAAATTGTCAAATATTTTCGCTTTAATACCCTAAAAAATATATTCGCGGTCTTGAAAAAAACACTTTCCAAAAACCCTTTAAATTGAGGTTTACTATATAGGCATCTATGGTTTATGTGTTCCTAACACATGCCTATGCGTCTAACACATCCGTTTTTTATCTTTCAGTGTATTTCATGTTTATGCAATTTATCTATAACAATTACATCCAGAGAAACCATATATATTTAATAGGACCAGAACCAGATATTAATAGGATGATTTATTACAGTTTTTGGTTTCTCTGAATCATTTCAATATTGCGCATGTTTAATTATTATAACCGGGCATATAATATATTATAGGCCTATATAGATACAGATATCACAATTAATGGCAAACATAGGTCTCGGCAACATGCGCCTTTTAAAGACCTCGGTATGCAAATTTTGGTTAAAATATAACACATTTTTTATATAACAAAAGGGCGAGTGAACATTATTCGATTCGATTTTCAGACTCCAGGAATAGAAGAGATACAGAAGAGAACAGAAGAGATAAGAACGCACACAATGCGTAGTTGAGAAAATAATATGTTAACTGTGCCCCCATATTAACAGATACTCTTTTTTGAGCGAATCATGCAATACATAGATTGTTTAATTAACATATCTGTAACAATTAATTGCATTCAGTCATTGAAATGATAACGAAAGCATTTCTCCACCAAATAACAGACGCATGTTATTATACGGTAATAACATGCGTTATTATACAGTAATGTTCCTTTTTGGCTATAGCCTAGGCTGACCCGTGAGCTGGTTGGTGAAAACTTGTTTAATAAGTGCTTTATTGGAAGTTGACAACTCATTTGATGACAATTCCAAGTCTAGATTTTACTACAGTAGGCCTATCTATTAACTCTGATTGTGTATACTTAAAACGTAAAACCCGTACTTTTAATGTATTTCATTTTCAAACTGTTTCTTTATGGTAAATCGTTTTTAAGCTGTGATCTTTTTCAATTGTAATGTCTCCTTGTTAATTACCACAATTTTCATTCGTCGTCTGTTTTAATGTCCTGTTTTTAATGAGCAAGCCGATAATAGACATTAATGATATTCGTAACAGCTCTATCTACCGTCATTAATGAGCCATAGATTAAAATAAGATTACAGTTGCTAAGTGTCAACACATAACAACAGAACAATATTGCTTACTTCAGCACGTTACACAGGCAAGTAATAGTATTTACAGGGCCTACATTAACTAAATCTATAATACTGTATTGTCTATAGTGCGTCCATGTAACTTCTACCTGCATCTGCTTGATTTATATTCATTTTTTCCTCACTAGTCCTACTTATACTGGTTCCAACCTCGTCTGACTTGGTTCCGAGATAGTTATACATTACAACAGCAGGTACCATGATAACTAAACCAAGCAGTGTGAATCCGGTGGCTAAGTTAAACACAGGGTCCCAGTGGAAGCTCGGTTCTGGTTTGAAAATCGTCCAGAAGATTGCACCGCACGGGGTGACCAGCGACTGGACGACCACCAGATATATCGCGCCGTCAGCGAAACGCACAAGTAGTACGATAAAAAGGTTGGCCAGGCAATACGCCACTATGAAAATCAATGACATGTAGGTGGCGCTATGACACTCTGGGGTCTGGCCATACATGCATTTCAAACCGTAGACGAAATTGTCCCAAAACTCGGATGGATTACTAGCCTGAAGAAGACAAAAGAGTAATAAAAAAAATTAAGCCAGCAGATTTTCTTAATAATCCACTTCATAAAATCATTAGTTGCATAAGTGAAGCTTCACTCATTAGGAGTGAATGTAATTCCATTTTTTAACTCTTTATTCGAGCACTCAATGTAGGCCATGGAGGAAATATGTTTTCTTCATGGTGGAGCCATTGACCTATTGGTCCATGGTAGAACAAACCAGCATTTCACATCATTCATTCCCTACTCCACTGCCATTCCTGCCTAAAATGATATCGGCAATAAGGTGTATCATAGTCAAGATTTACACTTAGGCCTATTATTTATATAGGCCTACAACTCGTGTATAAATATTCAACCCATGTAGGCTTACATAAATGTGTAAATGTTTGTTTTTGATCTTGTTTTATATTCATCGTCATCGGCATTCTATATGTATACGTATATGTATATTCTATATGTATTATAGTATTGATGATTATAAATGTGTATGAAAAGAAAATTTGAGTTTGATATGAGCGATTGTGCCCGCCTTACAAGTTTCGTAAGGAAATTCTGAATATGAATTTAAAATATTATCACTCTTTGAAGAGAGAAAATCCATTCTAAAAGGTGGAACATTGAGAGAGTACCGTAGATATAGACAGAAATGAGATATAAAAACAATGTTTATACTAACGGCACCAAATCCCGGGATAAAGTCAGTCCAAAAAAGAAGCAATATAAAAATGAAGTTGTACAGCTGTATCCACGCTAAGAATATAAACGACTCAGTCTGAAAAAAATAATATTGACATTACACCATTATTTTGAGCGAGCAGAATGGCCGAGTGGTTAAGGAAGGGGCACTGTGATCATAGCCAACAATATCGGCAAGGATTCGTGGCCGGCTCGCTCCTATAGTTCTGGTGGTGGAACAATTAAGTTTATAAACCGGAGACGCAGTGTAGGCCCAGTGTAAACAAATGCTCATGTACACTTTAAAGAACCCAGTACATCTTTCGAGATGAGTATACTAGAGGGTTACCTCGGTGTACTGGTTCACTCGGCCCTGCGTGGACAGATGAAAGTTCGCCGGTTTACTGGCTGCAGAGGACATGTAGCGACCCTCATGGGAGGAGAAAGTTATTGAAAAGTGCAACATCTAGTCCCGAGCGCATAGAGACCTTGTTTATTTGCGCTATATAGATCCATCTATTATTATTATCATATTGGAATTATCTTCACTCTCCCTACGACCGGGTAAACATTATCATCAGCATCAGAAAGAATAAAGATATAATTTTGGACAATACATTAACCAAATTATTTTTAATGAGAACTTTCATATTCTAAACATGATTAACTAAAAATATGACAGTAACGATCATAATCCGTTAATTATGTAGAATATGAAATTCACTCATTGAAAATATTGAATGCGTTTCACTTTTATTGTTGATGTTATCGCCATAATCCGGATTATCGCCATAATCCGGATTATCGCCATAATCCGTTTCTTCATAAGTTTTTTGCGAGTCTGTAAGAATAGCATAATATTGAATATTGCTCGTCTTTATAATTCTAGAAAGACATTTGCAAATGAAAGACAAATTACGGTACCCTTTAAATAAAGAACAGCTGTGAGCCAAATATTTTTGTTGTTAATGTCGACACAAGTACCGTAGTTAGATAAAAATTCAGTTACTAGAGTAATACAGTGCATGCTAAAATATAGAAGACATGACTCATCCATAACTTTTTTTTTAAATTTGGAGTTAACATGGTCACTTTATATATATTATATATTCTTATAGGCCTAATTGTTATTTTACGATATTTTATATGACATATAAGAACTCAAAAAATTCATTAATGGTAAGACGCCTAATAGAAATGTGTTACGATATATTTATGCCAAATTTGTGCAGGCGTCCGGATCCGGAGCAGTAAATCGTAACAAATGTTATGTCCTTAATAATACTGCATTCAAAAACTATGATAAACTGCTGTAAATAATACCAATATTAAGTAATAGTGTACTAGGCTGCCTACCTGATCTTTCTTTAGCTCTTTTTCGATGATGACGTTGAAAATGCCGAGCGGTAGAAATCCGAGCGCGAACAGAAAAGGCCATATTATTCGAGTAGCATCGGAAGTTGTTGACTTACTATTTGAAGATGAGGATGTTGATTGGTCGACATTAAATATAACTGGCTCAAGTGATATGAATAGACCAATCAAAACCACAAATGTACACACTAGTCGTCCCTTACTCACACCTAACAGAAGACGGATTAAATTTATACATACTTATTATACGTATTATATTTTAATCATATCCAAGAAATCATATTTAAACATGATTAACTGATCATGATCGTTAATGTCATCACCAATATCATTTGTTTTAGTTTATTGTTTCAGAAATCACAAATAAAGTTAATCAAGCAGCCTTTAAATATCGTAGATAGTAAAAACAATTTTATCATTTTCTCATGATTATGACGTCTGATTTGATTTGTGAGAATTTTTTTTATCGTATAGGCCTACACAATAACTCGTTATCGAATTGTGCTAGTGTGAAAACTTGTCTTATTTCTTTTATTTTCTGCATGAACAATTGCTTTTCTGAGATTTTTATCGTTGACTGTTATCGTCATAAACAGGTTTAAAGCTGTACGTCCCTGTTTTTCACTTCTAGAAGTGAAACGCATTAAATCTTTTTAATGAGAACCTTCATATTCTAAACATGACTAACTAAAAATATGTTAATTATGTATAGAATATGAAATTCTCTCATTGAAAAGATTGAATGCGTTTCACTTGTTAGCAGTGGCGTAGAAAAGTATTTTTCATTGGGGGTGATGATTGGCGTGTTAGCCAGTGTCGTAACAGGCGCGGGGGGGGGGGGGGGGGGGCCCCCCCCCCCCCCCGTTT